ATAGCTGAGCGAGGTACTGGTGGTTTAAAGTACACATACACAGATCAAACCTCTCCCAAACGAAGGTGCTCAGAACACCAAACACCCCAGGCCAATAGCTGTACCAAAACGGAAAGGCCTTCAGATCATAATTGCAGCCAACAGTGACACAAGTATAAGAGTGTTTTGCCTTGGGTGAGATACTACTATGCAACCGCCTCTTTGATGTCTAATTGAGAAAAGATCATCAAAAGGCTTGGGGCTAGGTCCCACTTGCAGGAATTAAGAGATGCTGACCGACGACCGTTGATAGTGGAGATCAACTGCCAAAATCTCTTAATCCGTGCATTGCCAAGTGGCACCTTGCCCTTGGAGAAGAAGAAGGCACACAATGTCATTGTGATATAATTCAAGTTGACTGCAAAACAACTTCATCACACCCCGCAGTTGGCGCAGTGTGGTATATTATCTTGTCATGTTCTTACCCCTCCTTACTTTTCCTTTTTCTTTTTCTTTTCTCCGCTCGGCGCCATCATCACAAATTTAAACTGCCAGCTCACCCGAAATAGAGCCGCAAGAGGATTTCTATTCGGGCCTGGGCCAGTAGCAAAAGAGGCAGGCTGCTCCAAGAAGGCGCCGTTGCAGGCTCGGGACCGTAAGAAGCTTGCAATGCCTCAATTCCGGTGGTTCTCTTACCACCATTGGGATAGAGGCCTTAGCACTCCTGGGTCATGTCTTTGTGTCTTCGTGCTATTTTCTCTTCTCTCTCTCTCTCTCTCTCTCTCTCTCTCTCTCTCCTATGCGTGTTATTTGCGGTCCGACTTGGTTATCTTGATGGTCGCTCACGGTTGTTGCTAGTCAACATACTTGCATAAGGGCCTTCAAAAAAAAAAAAAAAAAGAAGATTGCCTCGTCAACTTAGGCTCATGTGAGCCGGCTGTTTCATGCCCAAGAACGCATGTCATTTAGCGCTGATTTCCGGCCAAATACACCACATGCCTGACAGTCACACGCATACTACGGCTCATGGATTCTGCCGCCGGGATAATTGGTAGAAAGAGCCCATTCCAAAACCTATTTGGTGGGGGGCGACGCTCCGGAGAGCGCAAGCGCTGCGTTATCGGAATGCAGGTAACACTGGCTTATGCACCTCCGGGGCGGGCGCCGTGCATGGCGAAGCGACGCGCTGTACTCACGCCATATCTCTATTGCCTAGTCGGCCCTGCTAGGTCTCGAGTCTCGACTATGGCTGGATAAACGTGTGATAGTTCCACCTCCCTCTTGAGTGGGGGAGGGAGCGCCCTTTTGCTGCGGGCTATGGCATCCTAGCAGCCCTGACAAACCCCATGCTACTATATCATCCATATCACTAAACTATCCAAGATTGCTCGTGAACTGAAGAAGAGTTGTACCAATCCCAGCAGCAGTGGGCTGGGGTGAATGACACCCAGAACATGCCGGTGCAGCACTGCACTGGCAGTAGGCAGTGGGAGAAGCCTTCAGCAACGGTGGGAGCGCGCGGGAAGCTCTAAGAGCAGAAGTGTCAATCTGAGACTCGTCATGTGGACTGGCAGAGTACTTGATTTTGACGTTGTGGTTTTGGTGTAGTTTTCGTATACTAGTTTAAATTAATTGTTTTGACCTCCTATGCGTTAGTAGTCTTTGATTGGTTAAATCCATACATTAGGTCTCAGTGCCGTCTCACCCTCTCATATACTAGATGAGCATGTTCTTGGATGGTTAGATAATCTCACTTGGATTATACTTATAGGCTTAGTTTATGACACGTACTCTGTAATCAAAGGTGAATTTCAAAGTCCTCCTTGCTTTGTCATGGCAGCTTCGTTGATCAGGGTAAAGGTGGAATGTGATTCCTCCTGCCTTTCGCATATAGGGAATCATACCTGATTGAGGGTTTTCATTAGGAGTGTCTTATCCCTGTCTCTTATACACATCTAGATGTGTATAAGAGACAGGATTGAGGGTTTTCATTAGGAGTGTCTTATCCGGGTTATCCCTCTACCTGGAATGGTTGTGTTGCGTTTGCGGCCGTTGCAAGCTCTTTTAACCCATTAGGCTGCGTTTGTTAAAAAAAAAAAAAAAAAAAAAAAAAAAGCGTTACCAGAATGCAGATTAGGTATGAGAACTACTGTGCAGTTTTACCTCCATGATTTTCACTGTTTTTTCTTGAGGCTCATACTCACGGTGAAGAGTCGCACTTTCAGATTAGGGCTGAAGTCTTGGGGATTAGCCCGTCAGAGATTTGAGGGACACAGGTACAGGCACGGAGAGTGAATTGGGAATTCGGCGCTAAGTTCTTTAAGATTGCCCAGCACCAGCACTGCAGAGGGGTGTTTGTTCTTTCAAAAAAAAAAAAAAAAAAAAAAAAAAAAGATTGCCCAGTTAGAAGAGCTGAGGGACACAGGCTATTCGTAGATAGGATGCATGTACTGCAGCTTCGACTTGCGCTCCTGGCCGTCTTGTATTGTCTAGATTTTAAGGAGGATTAGCATGATTTAGGGTATCTTGTTATATCGCATTGACAATTTGTTTACTCAACGTTTTTAGTGCTCTTAAAAGCACGGTGTGGAAAACTTGTAAAACTCGGAATATCTCCTGTAGTCTAAGCTTCTCAGTAGGGTTAGCGGGTCTATGCTTACTAGTAGGGTTGTGTTTTAGAATGTCATCACTTCGTTTATAAATCCTTTGGAAAAAGAATCCTCTCTCCACTCGTGAGAGACAACATCAGGTCTACGAGCATCGGCACAGTGACTACGGAGGCAGTGGGAGAGCTCCCTTCAGTGGTGGGAACGCAACTCGCTTGGTGTTTGTATAATTAGGGTAGGAAGCAAACTTGAACTGTATCCATGGAGATCTTGGTTCGTTGAATGTTGATGCTATTGAAGATCCAAGAGTGCGTGGTGGGAAACCCGCCCACTGCAGGCGGTTCAGGCTTCTTTGAGGTTATGGATTTGTTTTGAGCTACTTTCGGAGTAGGTTGGTGCGTTAATACTTACTAAGGTTGCATGGTAGTGTGTTATCGCTGGGTTGATTAATCAATTGGAAAATAAATATGGCCTGAGAGGCTATCTGGTGTTTACGAGCAGCGAGTCAGCGACACTACGGAGGCAGTGGGAGAGCTCCCGTCAGTGGTGGGAACGCTACTCGCCTGGTGTTTGTATAATAAGGATAGGAAGCAAACTTGAAGTGTATCCATCATGGTGATCTTGGTTCGCTGAATGTTGATGCTGTTAAACCACCAGTACCTCGCTCAGCTATAGGCCGCGGGCACTCCCGTATACGTGCCGCAGCCCTAGGGGGGTCGGCCAAGGGAAGGCCCGGTCGCTGCGCGAAGGCCGGGCTCCGCTTCCCTAGGAACGACACACTTGAGAAAA